TCCCTGCTCAGTGGGGAGTCTGCTGTCTGCTTTCTCTCAAATGAATACATAAAATCTTAAAAAAAAAAAAGAAAGAAACTTTGGTTTGAAACAGAAAGTGATCATGAGCAGGTATGAACCCTGCCTTCACTCACCCCAAGGCCCTGAACGGGCTTGTATGTTCAGGCTGAAATGACAGGTCCCCTCGAGTGAAGCCGAGTGGCCACCAGGGGAGCAGGCCTGACTTCACTGGCTCTCCACTTCCTCCCACGGCCTCACAAGTGTGTGTATATACAAAATGCAGCCCAGGGTTCTGCACGTAATTAGAATAAAGAGAAACCTTTGCTAAATGTATGGCGTGTGCTAGGAATTCTAGGAACTATCTTGCTCTTTACGGGGATCCTGGAATGCTAGTACTAGACCCACGGGTTTTGCCCCAGAACTTTCTGCTACAGACTTTTCTGACCGCCTCTTCCAGACTTTTTTTCCTGCTGCTGGGGGCAGTGTAATTGCCCACTTCCTTTGTGGCATCTTCCAACAAAATGCCAATGAATGTCACCCAGAAGGAGACAAAGGACTCCCCAGTGGTGACAAATGTCCCAGGTGCTGGTTGTCTCTTCTATCTTGTGCAATCCCTGTCCACGTAGGTCCTGCTGGTACCATTTGGGGGCTGGGGGGGGGGTGTTTATTTGTGCCCAGAAGTGGAGAAAATAACGTGCCTCTTGCGCAACATCAGCTCAGGGGCCCCTCCCAGATCCTCACTGTGAGATGTAAACACCTTTATCCTCGACCAGTCCGGTTGAGTCCAAGAAGCTACTCTTTCCTTAACCGGGTGCTGGTTTCTGGGAACAGCACCGTGTGTGTATTTCAGAGTTATTAGAAAGCTACACACTCACACAAACCTGGTGTGGTAGGTCCTCCCCAGAGCAGGCCACCAGCAATTTCTCCCATTTCTGGGTATGTGTTCTGCTCCTCCCAGTAAGACTTTTTTCCTTCTTGAGGGTGGGCTGGACTTTTCACTTGTTTTGATTAATCGAGTGCTTAATAGAATGTGATACTCTGGCAAGCTTCCACTTTGGCTGTTGGAAACCAGCGGAAATGTTTTCCAAAGAAGGTTGAACTATTGTGAACAGTGAGGGCTGTGTAAGAGACCACGAGGGAGAGGACCAAGAAGCTGCAGACGATAGCGCCGAAATCCCAGACCTCTCCCCACTGAGTGCGGTCTCAGTGGTGACCCCTGCTGACCCCACAGTTAGCTAAAGAAATGCAGCTGAGTCCTGCCAACCTCGCAATTGTGAGAAAGACTGTTGTAAGCCGTTCATTGTTCGGGGATGGTTCCATACACAGCAATGGGGAAATGCAGGAGGAGAACTTTTGAAACGAAAGAGCTAGAATTGAGTTTGGCCCCAGAGGTTCTGTCAGCTGATTGCCTGTGACTGGGAATCAGATGGGTGGGCGAGGGCCACCACCCTGTGTAACTCCAGGGGGCACTCTTCCTACTCCATACAATGGGAGCCTGGGAACCCCTTCGAGCGCTGTTTGGCCATTCAGCTTGTCTCGCTGTCACTCGGATTGCTTCTAAGGTCCCTACCTGGCCTGGGAATCTTAGTTACTAACTTACAGAAGTGGATCAGGAAAAGTGAAGGATATACTGCCCTCTAGACCTGTCTGGTCACCCCTGCTCAACCACACGGCTTCCCAGTGCTGCCTTTTTTTTTTTTTTTAAGATTTTATTTATTTGATAGAGATCACAAGGAGGCAGAGCAACAGGCAGAGAGAGAGGGGGAAGCAGGCTCCCCGCCAAGCAGAAAGTCCAATGTGGGGCTCGATCCCAGGACCCTCAGATCACGACTGGAGCCGAAGGCAGAGGCTTAATGAACTGAGCCGCCCGTGCTTCTTGCATTAAGGTCCCAGATCCTGGCTTTCGAGTCTGTCCATAAGCGGATTCAGCCTACCTAGCTTTCATCGTTCCAGGATACCTAGTCTCAAAGTGCAGCTGCCTTGGTCTATTCCCTTTCCTGTTTTTGCTGGGAAATCTAACACTTCCAGCAGCACCCCCACCTCCAAGTGTGTCGCATTGAACACGATAGGATGGGCAAAAAGGATACTTTAGTCCTAGAACTTGGAAGACACTCAGTTAAAAAGTATCAGTATGTTTCTTGACATCAGAGCTTCTCAAAACCTCCTCCCTGTGGGAGTTTTCCTAGAGGAAGTCACAGTAACATTTCCTAAAATGATCTCTGGAAGGAGCCTCCCAGATGACTGGTACAATGGAGGCAGATTCTCGGAAATTTCCTTCCTACCAACTCATTTGGCCCCACTAAAAAGGAATTCCTTGTGAATTTTTTTTAAGATTTTATTTACTCGGCAAAGAGATAGCACAAGTAGGCTGAGCGGCAGGCAGAGGGAGAAGCGGGCTTCCCATTTAGTAGGGAGCCCAATGTAGGGCTCCATTGAAGGACACTGGGATCATGACCTCAGTGGAAGGCAGAGGTTTAACCGACTGAGCCACCCAGGCGCTCCTTGGAATTCCTTGTGAAGTCTTAATTCTGCGTGAGACTTGTCTGTGTGATTATGGTGTAGACCAAGTAAAGCAGGGAGAGGTTGGGTGTTGGCATGAAGGCACCTGGGCTCAGATCCTGGCTCTGCCATTTCCTGTATAACTTCGAGCACATGGCTTATCTTCATCACGGGGGGAGGACAATAATTGTGGAAGGAAATCTGCCTTGCAGAATGCCCGATTTGTACACCCAATGCTTATTTGTACAAAAAAAATGTGGACCTTGCATTCTGGAGGAGACAGATACCAATACATGTGATTTCTAATTGTGATCAGTGCCACGAAGGGAAAAGGACAAGGTGTGTGAGCAGAACTAGAGGGGACTCTTCCTGAGGAAGGGCCTGTATTCTAGGGCCTGAACAATGAGGAATTAGTCCAAGGAAGAGAGAAGGGATGGTGGCAGTGTTCAGACAGTGGGGACGCCTAGGTATAGACCCCAGTATAAGGGGCTCCGTGTGTGTGTGAGGGCCTTCGAGAAAGCCTAGCTGGAGGGGGAAGGACCTGAGAACCAGGGCCTTGGAGGCCTTCATGAGACTGTCAGGTTTATCCCAAGAAGCTGAACCATGGCCAGTAGGGGATGGCATGACCCAATTTCTCATTTTAAAAGCTCAGGCTCCCGGTGAAGAATGGATGGGCCAGGTCTGGCAGTAAGATGGGAAGCAAGGAAGTCTACCGGGGCTTTCTCCTCCTGGGCAAAGCCAGACTGGTTTGTATTAAGGGTGGTAGTGGAGGGGGGAGGAATTGGAGATGAATTTGGAGAAACCAAGAACCAGGGCTTATATATTCCATGTAGGGAGCGGAGGGTAATTCCCAGGTTTCTAGTTGGAGCAGCAGAGTACAGGGAGGCACCATTTGCGGGGTTGCCCACCACGGTGAGCAGTGGCCTTGGGGCAGTAGGTGAAGAGTTCAGCGTTGGGACATGCAGAGTCCAAGAACTACAGGATAGACGTTCCAGAAGCGGTAGCTGCTATTATTTATTTCAGGCACTTGTGTGAAGTGTGGCTCTCTAGAGACAGAGACTCCTGGAGGACCGGAAGTGTGAGTCATTTGTCAAAATACTCTCCAAGGACCTCTCACCGGGCAAACACTAGCAGTGGCACCGGGATAAAGATGAATGGGATGTGGTCTGTGTACTTGAGAGAAACGGAATGGGAACATCATATGTTAAGTGTCATGGAGGAATGTTGAGGGGGCTTGGGGAACTCCTAGGAGGCATAGAATGGGTAGTTCCCCGCTTGGGAGGGCTTTACAGAGATACTGACTTCAGAGTAAGAATTGCCCAGAATGGCATGTGCAGGAACCAGAAGCTTGAGGGACGTGGTAGGTTGGAGAACAGTGGAGAGCAAGGCGTGGGCTTTGTACATCTCAACTCCCTGTTAAGGGCATTAGGTCTTCAAGGACCAATGTGTCCCCGACTTCTTCCATCCTCCCGGGGCCATCTGAGTTCCTAGCCAAGTGCCAGCACAGAAAGGAAACTCACCAAATATTTGGTGACTCCAGTTTCTTTTAAATGTCCCAGTCTTCAAACACAAAAAGAAAATCTTCAGTCTTCGTGCATCCTTCAAGTTTGGTAATGACTGAACCACCTCTTGGGTGAGGTGGGGAAGGCACCGGGGGTGCCCCGGGAGTGAGGGGGTCGGGAGTGGATGGAATAAGTGCGTCCGCTGGGGTATTCTGCCCTGGAGAGGGCTTGCACCGCTCCCACCCCTGGATGGCTCGCTAGGCGTGGGCAAGGTGGGAGAAGGAAGACCAGGGAGGCCTGGGGTTTAGTCAGGTCTTAATATAGAGGCTGTTTCATTACAAGGCAAACAGAGGACTCTTGCTGGTTGTGCTGACACCTGGCCACTCCTTAGTGGTCTCTGACGTTGCTAAAACCTTCCCCAGCACCCAGGTGAAGGGCCTGCCCTCTCCTCCAGGGCCACCTTCTCCTCCTAAAACAGCCTGGCCACCCCACTCCCAAAGGATCAGACATCCCTGTAAAAAATGTCTAACCTATTTCCTCTTTGTGGGGAGAGGGACCTAGAGGCTAAATGTTATGCAGCTTAGTGAATTCACGAATTGTCCTCTACTGCTGAACCCACTCCACTCCCAGCTCATTCCTTTACGTAGTCCTCCATGCTGATGACCAGCTTTGCACTCCACGATTTCATTCCAGCTCATGTGCCTCTCCAAGCATCCCGGGGTCCTCTGCATCCTGCCCCATGGACCATGGAGGCAGTGACAGTGGTGTCCCCGTCAGACGAGGGGCTCCCTGAGAGCAGGAAGTGTTTGGTGCCCCTGGAGCTCTTCCCAGTGCTCAGAGCATGCCTGACTGCCTGTGGTCCCAGAAGCAAAGCAGTTGAAGAGCCACTTTACGCATGAGAATTGATGAAGGACCTGGGCCCCAAATCTCCAGGTCAGAAGACGGATTTGGGGTGTTGAAATGATGACTCTGAGTAGGGAGAGGGTGTCTGCTTTCTGGTGGGGGCTGTCCTTACCTGTATCCCAAGCCTGTTTTCCCGCCTGAGGGTGGGGACCAGGGTTGTTTACTATCCCTTTGCAGTTCTGGAAAAGCACCACCATCCCCGCCCCGTTCTGCTGCTCTGCAGTTTACGGCAGGGTGTAGCACCCCGACCATCCCTGCCCGCTGCTCTGCACCAGAGAAGAAACTATTCACTGTTTGTCCATTTATTGAGCCCCTCCTGTGTTCCAGGCACAGGAGACATGGAAGTGCGTGGCACTCGGCCCTGCTCAGCAGTGAGATGGGAGCTGAGCTCGGGGGGAGAGCAGGGTCACTGCAGCTCACAACTGAACAACGGTGCAGGTGTGCATCACCATGGCTTAGGACCAAGAGTTCTAGAAGGAACTGCAGTGAGTTCAGGGAAGCCAGGTGGGACACACCAGTGTTGGGCACAGGAGACACACGAGAAGAGAGTTGGCCTGGCCGGCTGTCAGCTATATCGTCCGGGGAAGGAGATGGGCATTTCGTCCTCCAGGAAGGGTGCAGTGGGGGTGCTCACTCTGACCTGCGGTCCTCGTCCTCTCTGCCTGGGAAGAGTTCTGTAGGTGACAGTGGTTTCAGGAGTCTTGTCCGTCTCCTCCACCTTTGGGGGGACTTCCCTAGTCACTCCTCCTTGGACCCTCCATTTCCCTAACTCGGCCTGTAGATATTTGGGGAGATCAGATTACAAGTCCATCTGCCACATCTTCCAGTTCTCAGCCGGAAGCACGTCTGGAGCTTGGATGAGCCACCCCTTAGCTATTCTCTCTAAGAGGAGGGAAGTGGTGATCCAGTATTTGCAAGCCCGCAGGCCTTCCGAGAGATGCAGGAGGTGCCGTGGACTAGGTCATGGGAGACCCAGCTTTAGCCCCGGCTGTCCTGGGCTCACTGTGTGACTCCGGGCAAGCTTTCCATCCCTGAAAAATGGGATTCCTGCCCACACTCTGTGTGCAGGGACGTTCACTTCCATTTAGGTACTGAGATGACTTCCATGGCCCTTAGAATGGAATGGCTGAGACATTTAGAAAAGAATCTTGGGTGGGGGGAGGAGAGGACTTGCATTCTTTAGTCCCAAGAGCCTATGTTGGAAGGAGTAGGTGTTGGACCAGGGAAGCTGGAAGGGCATTCTGCTAAAGGATGCGCTCTGGGGGAAGAAGTCAGGCTTTACCGAAGGTGGACTGGAGCTCAGTGTCTCTGACCCCCTCGGGGGCCGGCTGGCTTGAACTTCTGATCTTCCCCACATCCCCACCCCCGCCTGTGTCTCTTATCTACCTTCATGCCGGCTCATTCATTTCTTGAGTGTACCCTTGGGTCCCTTGTGGGTTGTGACCCCTGCCAGGAGGTGTTAGCTGGTAACTGCTTAGGGTTGTGATCCTTCCTGGAGTATTTCACACACTGCTGAGGACACGAAATACCTCAAGGCTAAAGGCATGACTTTTAACAACCATTGATCACTGTGGGAATAAGGGGGATGTTCCTGGGCCTGAAAAACACACATGATTCTCGTGGCTCCAGCTGGTCCTAGAGAGGCGGGGGCAGTGTGCGCCTGGGTGCTGGGGTGGGTGGAGAGGGTGCAGCTTCAGGACTCCAGCTGTCTCACGCCTAGATCATTGGAGGGACCTCCTCCCTGTGCTTCAGCCGCTCTCTTCTATGGGACATCTGCCCAGCGGCTTGTGGGAAACTTGCTCCGTCTGTCTGCCTGCCTGGCCTCCACCATGGAGACGGGCAGAGAGGCATCTGTCACTTTCCCCTGATGCCCTTGCAATCCACCAGAGCTCACCTACCTTCTGTAGATAGTTGCGCCCTGTCCACAAGGCCCTGCACCATTTGTCCTTGAGGATGCTCTGGTGGTGGAGCTAGATGAGATAGAGGAGAAAGAGTGCAGCAGAATAAGGCTGTGCTGGGACCCAAGAAAGGCAGGGCAGGGCCAGGACCAGAGCAGGAATGCAGTCATTCCTCAAGCGTTGTGGGAGTTGAGGGAAAAATTGTGGATTGGTTCATTCATTCACTGAGTCATTCATTGATTCCCACCCCTTTCTCTGGCATTCTCCCTCCCTTTGCCCTTCCCTCCACAGACACCTATGAGCACCACTCATAGAAACTGCTCACGTTGTGGGTACAGAGGCGGCAGCCCACCCTTTCCTGTCCGTGGTGGGAGGGGGTCTACTCTGGGGACAGCACCCATGTGACCTGGCGAGGCAGGGCAGGGCAGGGCGCCAAGGACAGCCTGGTGCCCAGGCCACAGAGACCAGCTTCATCCGGGTAGGGCAGGCACTCAGGGGAGGGGAGGTGGGGCCCAGAGTCAAGTCAGTGAGGAGGATGTGATGAGTCGTCAGAGCATTGAACTTGATCCTGAGAGAGTACTGAGGGTGTGGTGGGTAAGAGTTGGTTGGTTTTCTTTCGATATTTTTTTTTTTTCCTCTTTTCATCAAGGATTTTGGGCAGGGTACTAGCTGCTCAGATTTGCACTTTCCAGATCCTTCTAGGTGCACGGTGCGGAATGGATTGGTTAGCTTTTTCCAATCCCAGGCTTTAGACCCAAAGTAATTTTGAACCTTTGGCAGAACTGGATTCATACTGTCTCCTCCTTATCCCTGCAGCTACTCCCCCCACATGTCCAAACCCCCTCTCTGAGGAGACAGCCAGCAAGCCCAGGGTGTGGCCAAACGGTGCTGGCCCCGCCCCCTCCAAAGCCAGCATGGGGTGCCCCTGGCCAGAGGGTCTCCCCCACCTCACTGACTTGTTAGCGGCCTGGCCAGCTCAGCCCTCCCCTGGGAGCAGGCTGAGGGGAAGATCTGGACAATGCTTACCTGTTCTTCTGTCTGGCTGGATGGGAGGTATTCCTGGGGGAAAGAGAAAGAAGGAATGAGGGCCGCACTGCTTCCCCAGGGCCTTGGTGAGGCGGGAAGGGCTCATGGTTCTTTGGGGTTCGGTGCCTTTGGTGGGTAGTTGGCAGAATTCCAGTCCCTTCCCATTATCCCTGTATGGCTGGGCTGCTTGGCTGCTCATGGGGGGAGACAGTGTGGAGCCCTGGGAAGGGCACAGACTTTGGAGTCTCTGGTGCCTGGCACTCCTTGGACATCCTTGGAAAAGTTTGTAACAGGTCTGAACCTTAGTTTTCCCGCTGGTGATAAAGGGGACGTTATTGTGAGATGTCATATGTGAGCATTCTAGGTGCTCAATAAATCTTTCTCTGCTCTCCCCATCCCTGTTCCTCATGGGGTGTTGGATTTGGAAGAGACGGAAATGGCCCAGTCGAGAACACATTTTGTGGAGAAGAAAACAAAGGTCAGAAGTGTTTGGTCATAAGTCAGCTTTCTCTGTTTTTATGTGCATTTTTTTTTTTTATTACAAAAGCACTCTTGGGGCGCCTGGGTGGCTCAGTGGGTTAAAGCCTCTGCCTTCAGCTCAGGTCATGGTCCCAGGGTCCTGGGATCGAGCCCCGCATCGGGCTCTCTGCTCAGCAGGGAGCCTGCTTCCCCCTCTCTCTGCCTGCCTCTCTGCCTACTTGTGATCTCTCTCTGTCAAATAAATAAATAAAATCTTAAAAAAAAAAAAAGCACTCTTTGAGTACATGCCCACTATAAAAAGAATCAAGCCATGAGAGGTTTGTACAGTAAAAATTAAAGTCCTTTTCACTCTCTCTCCCTTACTTCCCCTTCCCAGCCTAGACGTAACCACTGTTGACAGTTTCATATTTGTTCTAGAAATTTCCCTATGTATTTGCTTATACAAGTGTGTAAGTAAGCAGTTTAAAAAAAAAATTAAAGAAGTATTTATTTGTTTTAGAGAGAGAGGGAGAAAGTGCAAGCTGTGGGTTGAAGGGGGGTGAGGGAGAGGGAGACACACACTCCCGCACTGAGCCTGGAGCCTGATGTGGGGCTCCACCTCAGGACCCTGAGATCATGACCTGAGCCGAAACGGAGTCAGACACTCAGTGACTGCGCCACACAGGTGCCCCTCCATTGATGGTTTTTATGTTATTTCCAAATTCTTGCTATTACAAACAAGTTGGCAATAAACACTGATGTAAATATCTTAAGATTCATGCATCAATAGCATTTCTATTTTGTACATGTTCTGAAGTGAGACTATTGGTAAAAGGTATGTGTACTTCCAGCTTTGATGGAGATTGCCAACGTGTCCTTGACAGGGTATAAAAATGGTAGTTTCCTCAGACCCTCACTGACAACACTTAAATGCGTGTATAGATATAGAGATAGAGATATAATATAATAGAGATAGAGATATAATATAGACAGTGAAAAAGGAGGAACTACCCTCTGTCCAGATCCCCTGGGACATGACTCCTGCATTAAGAATATCTTCAGGGGGGACGCCTGGGTGGCTCAGTTGGTTAAGCGGCTGCCTTCGGCTCAGGTCATGATCCCAGCGTCCTGGGATCGAGTCCAACATCAGGCTCCTTGCTCGGCAGGGAGCCTGCTTCTCCCTCTGCTTCTGCCTGCCTCTCTGTCTGCCTGTGCTCGCTCACTCTCTCTCCCTCTGTCTCTGACAAATAAAAAAAAAATAAAAAATATCTTCAGGGAACACGGGTTCATTTTAAGAATTCTATCTGAGCCGAACAGAATCGACTAGAAAGCTTGGCCAGTGGCTTGGCTCACATCTAGACACTGATTCCCAGCTTCACCAGCTGTCTCTGGAGTCATCCCCTCGGATGGATGGCAAGGGCACCAGCAGGCCGGGAGGCATTCCCTCACCCTTAGGGTGACCCGCACCGCCACATGCCTGAGCCAGCCCCGGGTTTAACACCTGTAGCCCAGTATAATGAATTCTCTGAAGTGTCGGGTTTGATGATCATTCCTATGGCACGGGCGACCCCTACCAGCCCCTGGAGGCCTGGGCTTGAAGCTGGGCCCCTGCTTGGTGTCACCAAACCTGCTCAGAACCCACGGGACAACACCCACCTTTGTCACTCACCTCTCACCCGCTTCCCCATCAGCCCAAAGAACTGGCTGGCTTTGCCCCTCTTCACCTGCTGGAGCTGGAGGTGAATGCCATCATCCTGGGGAGGCGGAGACGTCATTGTTAGAGCTGCGGGAGAGGCTGGGGCTGGACATGGGACAGGGTGGGCAGCCTGAGCAACAGCAGGATCATGCCCCCTGGCTCTGGGCCGGCAGGTGGCTCTGGTGCCTTCTTTAGCCAACATGGCGCCTAGACACAATCATTCATAGACAGTGTTCCACCACCTGCGTTCCTGGCTCGGGGCCCAGCACTTTCTCGTATTAACTCATTTAATCCTCCCTGAAGCCGCACCAAGCGAGAACCTATACAGTCACCATTTTACAGATGAAGACACCGAGGCAGAGAGACATTAGTCCTCCCACGCTCACCAGCTAGGTTGTGAGAGACGGAGCCAGAACTTGAACCCAGGTCACCTGGCTCAAAGGCTCAAACACTGCAGACACAATCTCACATTCTTCGCACATGCCGTATGAAGTGACTGATTTATCCCTCACCTACAGATGGGGAAACTGAGACTCACGGAAGGTAAGTGACTTGTCCAAGTCACGCAGGAAGCGGCGGAGGCAGAATTTGAACACAAGGAGTCTGACTCCAGAGCATGGTTCTGCTCCGTCATGGAAAATGTTTCCAACATAGACAGGAGCGGGCAGCTGGGGAACTCATGGTGGGCACCCTATAGGCAAGGCGGGACATGGTCCCGGATCTACCCTACCCCACAGCCTGGGCCTCCCACGTGGAACATGGCATGTGGCCTGGGGGGGAGGCCACTCCTCTGGGCAAAGTCATTGTCGTCCTTGAGCTGATGGGGCGAAAATTCTAGGCTAATGGTGCTGAACTGAAGTTCTCGTTTTTCCATCAGGCTTTGTTATATTGGCCAAAAAGTGTGGCCTCACTTTCTGGCCTTAACCTGAGCCCCCAAAGGGCTTCTCAGCCCTGTTGAGAGGGAGAGATGCTTGCTAGTGGAGAGGGTGACGGTGAGTGACAGTCATTAGACCATCCTCACGTCTCTGTGTGCCCAGCACCTGGCACAGAGCTTAGAACACAATGTGTGCAGGATACTAAAAGCTGAAGAGGGGCCCTTTCTAAGCCCTGGGCCAATTCAGTCACTTCCAGTCTGTCTCCTGTGCAGGATGTCAAGGGCTGGGGCAGCTGTCTCAGGCTGGAGTCACCTAGCCTGGCTAGGAACCGGAAAAGTCTCTTCGGAGATTTGGACCCACTGCTGAAAAGCTCACGAAAACCAGTTTGCCAGGGTAAAAGGCAGCCTTCATATGCAAGCTGGAGAGAATGGCTACTTATGAAGTCTTATCTTTCTCCCGCCCTCCCTGGGGTTTCTGGACCCTGGCTTCCCTTGACTCAGGAAAGACCCCTCCTACACCTGAAGCCTGCCTTATGCATTTAACCCAAATGCCTAGCTCCAGGGATGACGGCAGGTGGGGGACCCCCCTCAGGGCTGAGGCAGTGATCCGCTCATCCTGTTCAGGACCGTTTAGCAGAAGGCAGTGGCCATCGGACCAAGTACTTATCATGAAATAAGAGAAACGTGGGAGATGTTAACAGTGATCCTGCCCTAAGTTGACCCCGTTGAAAGGAAATTCTGGAAAATGTCCTCTGATGCACAGACAAACCAAATCTGATCTCGGACAAATGTGCTTTTAAAGCTGCATAACATTGGACAAACTGTTTGACCTTTCTGTGCCTTGGGTTCCTTAGCTGTGCAATGGTGATAGTAATGGTACCTTCCCCACAAGGCTGATAGGAGGATTAAACTGGTCAATATTTATGAAGCACTGAGGACAGTGCCAGGAGCATAACATATGTGACATAAAACACAAACACACACACGTACCCATACACACTCACACACTGTTGCTCCCATGTATGCTTGCCCCTTTGGATGTCTGCCCAGCCAGGGCCCGTGGCCTTGAACCTACCTGCAGAGGGGAGTCCAACAAAATGGCTAACAATGTACAAACCGCTCCCTGGGCAGCTATGGAAGGGATCTCCCACCCCCTCCACCGCAGACCAGCCCGTGCCTCACCCCCCAGTACCTCCAGGGTCAAGGTTATCCAGGACCCTGCCTCTGCTCCGAGTGCCAGTTCCTCGTCAGCTGTCACAGTGCCTGCCGACAGTCCCATCAGGAGAAGCAGGGGGAGGCAGGGCAGCATAGTGGGTACTGCTCTGTCCTGGGACCCTCCCGGATCCTCGCGCCTTAAAGATGCTGTCTCCAGCACGCCTGGGGCCTCTCTTTGGCTCCTTTCGAGTGTGTTTAGGGAAGTGGGGGTGGGTGAGTCTCCACCTACTCTCTGTCCTTCCAGTTACCTTGCTTTCCTTTCTTCAGCTTATCTGGCCCCTGGGGCCACTTCCTGTGACTCCCTTCCCTCCCTCCTGCTAGCTGGAAAGACCAATGATACCAGAGGAGGGACCAGACCTCTTCCACTGCTGGCCCAGCACTTGATCCCAGGGCTTAGCACTCTGATGCAACACTGGCCTCACCTTTTGGCTGTGTTCCCTTGGTGGCAGGTGCACAATGGGGCACTGTGTGGGGGCCTGGCTGGAAGCCCAAGGGGGGCCTGGTCGTCCTGGACATGGGGAAGGGGAGTTTGCGGCTCCTCCCCTCCCGGTGCTCTTCTCCCCTGTAAGAGAGGCCTCTCCTCCAGAACTCAGTGTTTGACCACTTGTCTCCCCATCACTGCGCACACCCGCCCCGAGGTTCCCCTCCATCTAGGGACCCCCACATGTACATAGAAACGCACATCTTGCCCTGAGAGAAATAACATAGTGCTTAAAGGAGTAAGGCTCCTCAGAGGGAAGAATTGGGATTTGCCAGAAAAATGGCCTTCTGCTCAAGTGTCATCAGCTCTAAACTACTTCCCACTGCTGGTAAAGTGATCTTTCTAGAGCCCTAACCTGGCAAGTCTCTCCCGGCTTACAGCCTTCCAGTGTCTCCCCATGGCCCTTGGCATAATGTTCAGGCTCCATAGCATGGCATTCAAGGCCCTTCTCCACTTAGATCCTCCCTGTTTCCCATCCATCCGTCCATCCATCCATCCATCCATCCAACCAACCATCCATCCGTCCATCCAATCGTCCATCCATCCATCCATCCATCTGTCAGTGTAGAACAAGGGCCCTGTGGTCAGAGACCTGAATTCCAATCCTAGTTCCACCATTACATAGCTGTGTCACCTTGACACATTACTTAGACCCTCTAAAGCTTAGACCCCTCATCTGTACATGAGATTAACCATAGCACTTATTTCCAAAGTTGCTGGCGGGTGAAATGAGATCCCACGTGTGCCACACTTAGCACAGAGCCAGGCAGTAAACATTTGACACTGTTAACTGTTATTACTGTAACTGTTATTGCCCGGGTGAGGCCCTGGGCCACAGATGATGAATAAGATGCCAGCCCTGTCCTCCAACATCTCCCAGTCCAGGGGAGACCCCTGGCTGGTGGGGAAGCTCTGTTCCATTTGGTGTGTGCCTGCATAGGGACGGGAACAAGAGAAGGACATACCCCCCCTCATTGCCCCCAAAGCCATTCCTTGGTCCCAGACATGCTGCACCGCCTGCTCCCAGGACAGGCTCAGACTCCCTGCCCCGTGCCTTGACCTTGGCTTGTTGGCTCTGCCTAGACCTCCTTTTCCACCTGGTACGACCCCACCCTCCTTAAAGGGCCCACTTCATGGTCACCTCCACAGTAGGTTTTTCTGTGCCTATTTCCTCACTCCAGCAAGAATTGATTAGTCCTTTTCCTCGGTTTTCCTAGTATCCCACTTATATCCCTTGTAGCTGAGCACAGGGGAGGGGCTGGAGTGGCAGCCGAGTGGGAGAGTGGATGGGAAACCCAGCCCTTGCTCTGTTCACTGAGCCTCACAGCCTGGTGTGAGGCTTTGCTCCGCCGGAGGAAGGTGCTTTGCTCCATTTCTCCCAGGGGAGACCTCTGGGCTGAGAACAGCCCCTCCTTTTCTGCTGGGTTACACCCCAGCTATGTGAGAGTGGGGCTGTGATATACGTGCTTGGCGCACAGTGGGTCCTTAAGAAATGTGCAGTCACTCAGAGTCCAGGCCGGTGGAGGCAGAGAGGGATACGGGCAAGCATGGAGATTTGGGGGAGGACACCCCCCACACATCCCCTCCACTTTCACCCCACCCAGCAATCTCTTTGGTGGATCCCAAGCCTGATCCCAAACCTGCACGTGCTAACATGCAGATTCCCCCGGCTCAGCCCTTTTCTGGCCCCAGCAGCCCTGGTTTCTGGGTCTGTCTCAACACTCCAGGTGACCGTCACTCTGCCTCCCACGGAACTTCCCCAAGGGCGGGGCATTCCACTTTGGGTTTTCCAGTGTTGTTGACAAGCTCTTCCTTCCAGGGAACAGTTTCGCTTTTCATCTTCATTTTACAGATGTGGAAACTGAGGCGGGTTGGGCTTGCTCTAGATGCCTGTACTAATTGGTGGCAGACTAGCATCCCAGACCCCAGTCAGCTGCTTCCCACTTCACACTAGGGCCTCAGCCTCTAAGGGCAAGCAGCACAGGGCTGGAGGCAGAGTGACAGCATGGACCTCTGGATGTGTGTGTCGGGGGTGGGGTGGGGTGGGAGACGGCTTCCTGTTTTGCAGGTCCAAACAGAGTGACCTTAGGACTTAAGAAATATCCCTGGGCCTCAGTTTCTCCATCTGAAAATTGGAGCTGCTGCTCATTGGATGGTGGTAAAGATTTCATGAGTTCCCCAGTTTTAAAGAGCTCAGCAGTGACTGGCACATAGTTGGCGCTCAATTAATCCAGTGACTGGCACATAGTAGGCGCTCAATTAATCTTCACTTGTTTTCTGTGATTATTCGACCTCTGGAACCCTGGAGCTCGGCGTGGACTCCCGGCCCTGCCCGCGCAGAAGCCGCCCGTCGTGGGACAGGATGTGGCTGGTGCACAGCAGGGAGGAGGCAGGAGCCACAGAGCAGAGGAGAGGGCGGCGGGAAGATGGGAGAGAAAATCCCAGAGGTCCGGAAGGCCGGGAGGAAGGCAGGGCACCGGCTGGAAACCGCGGCTATTTGCAGCGCTGCCTTTGGGCTGCGGTCTCCCGGCTGGCGCTCGCTGCCCCGGCCGCCCAGCCCGCCGCCCCGCCTGGTGCCCTCGGCCACCCCGGCACGGCCCCGTGATCGCGGCCTCGGCGGGAGGGCTGGGGCGCGGCAGCCAGAGCCCGGACGAGGCCGACGGCGCCGAGCCGGGCGCGACCCTGGAGGGCTGCATGGAGGCGGGTGCGAGCCGGACGCGAGGGGCAGGGGCGGGCGCGGGGGGCCGTGTGGCCAACGAGGCGGGTCGCGGCCGCGGCGAGGCTGCTGGGGCGCCGGGTGGGCGCGCAGGATTGCTAAAGGCTGCGGTTTGGCGAAGACCGCGGAGCCGAGAAGAGCAAGGGCGCAGGAGGGAGGGAGTTTTTTAAAGCTGAGGGCGAACAGCGAGGAGGGAAACACGAGAGGAGGGCGGGCGGCGGGCAGGAAGCTGACGTTTCCCGAGCGCCCACTCCGTCCGCAGCAGGAGGGAGGATGGGCGCGCCGGGCGGTGGGCTCCGGGGCGCCGAGCGCCGTGGCTCAGGCGGCCCAGCGGCGGAGGGGTAGGGCCGGGATTCGAACCCGGTTTGCTGCTGCAGCTCGCTCTCTCACCTGCACGGAGCCCGCGGACACCGGCGGGCGGTGGGTGGCCGGGCCCGACCGCCGAAGAAGCGGAGCTGGGAGGGGAGGCCGCGGGGAGAGGGCTTTGGGGAGGGGTCGTGGCCGCCGCGTGGGGACGCTTGTGGGGAGGGGGCGGGCGTGGGGCGGTTGATCTGTTCCACCACCCCCCACCCCCGGCGATGACGCCGCAGGGGGCCCCGCCGCTGTCTTTCCCGCGCCCCTTCAGCGCCCCCATGTGGAAGTTTCCCCTGAAGTCTGGTCTCGCCTCCTACGACTCGGACCGCTGGGCCCTCCCTGGTCCCCATAGCCTGGCCTTTGGCTAGAGGGACAGGAGGTGACCGAGGGGGCGAGGGTCCTCGGGCCGGCAGCCTGGTCCTTCTAGGGGAGGGCAGTGGAGCGGAGTAGCCCGGAGAGCGTGATTGGCGCCACCCCTGAAGAAGGACTCCCGCAGTCGTTGAGGCTACGCTGGTGCATTGGGTCAGGGATCCCGGACTTACTAAGCACCTCGCAACGCGGGAGTTGCCCCAGAGCAGAGAGGAAAGAACCACACAAGCATTTATAGCAATTTTAACTGAGTGTGGAAAGTGCCATGGAAGGGGCATTTGGGGAAAAACCAAGATTCCTGGGCCCCCTTGACTCCCACGGATGGAGCAGGCACCCTTCAGACGCTTGTCCTTAGGACACTCTGGGCTTGGGAACGTGGGTCTCTGCACCCAGAGCTCACAGGAAGCCGACAGAGCAGTTGCCCTCTGTCCCCAGAGGTTGTGGGGGCCAGATACCTCTGTCCAGAGTCACCGAGGACATTTGGGCCCCAGCCTGCCTTGTTTTTGACATTTAAGACCCTCAGTTAGGCCTGGAATATTTCTGGAAGGGCCTGAAGTTATTGCTCAGTTTCAGAAAGAAATTCTCAGAGTCTGGAGAATGATTCAGAACATTCCCTGACCTCACGCTTATGGTCAGACACCTCCCCCACCATGGAAGGTACATCCTGGCCCTGGGGCCCCTCTCTCTGTAGGAATTGGCACCCACTCACATCTTTTTTTTTTTTTTTTTTTTCAGTTAGGCTCAGCAAGGAAAGAGAAATACATGGTGGGAGGTATTTGTCCCCAAGAAAGGTTCGAGTCAAGAGTAGAAGCAAAGCATAGCACAGCGGCTAAGAATGAGACTCTGGGGGGGGGGTGTCTGGGGGGCTCAGCCGGTTAAGCATCTTCCTTCCGCTCAAGGTCATGATCCTGGGGTCTCTGCTCAGTGGGGAGTTTGCGTCTCCCTCTGCTCCTCACCCTGCTCTCCTCACCCTGCTAGTGCAGCGCTCCCTCTCTCCCTCTGTTTCTCAAATAAATAAATAAAATCTTAAAAAAAAAAAAAAAAAGAATGAGCTCCTGGGTTCAAATTCTGACCCCAGAATTTTACCCTCTGTGTGATGTCAGCCGTCAGGCTTTAACCTTTCTGGGCTTCATTTCCTTTATCCCCAAGGTGGGGATCATAATATATTCACTTCAAAAGATGCTGAGATTTTTTTTTTAAGA